CAAACTATTCGAAAGTGCTCGAGTTTTGGGTCTTATTTTAAGTTTATTACACTTTATATGTGATCCTTTGTTCTAACTCTTTTATCAAGATGCATAATTGTGGATATTATGAATTTTTGGTCAAAATAATTATTCAAAAATTAAGTTCCCACATTAAGCTAGGCATTGTTAAGCAATAGAAAATTAAAAATATCTATACCCAACATTTAGCAAACAGGTCAAATTACATAGCATACAGTAAAGAGCTCAGGTAGTACTTAAGATGCTGACTATGCTATTGAAATTAACATGTTTTATTTCTATTCTGTTTTGCTAGAAGTGTTTTCTTTCCAACAACTGGCTGTAGTCAATAATATATTGTTTAAATGTGGGATGTTATGGGCATGAGCAGTCACAAGTTTCATTATTTTTAATTAGCTTTCAGTCAACATGTGAAATTTGAAAATAGTGATTATATTTGGTAGATGTTCCCAAAATTGTATGGATCCAACTTTAAATGTCTTTCCTACTATTGTACATTTTACCATTATCATGTGCTTGTTTGAAACCTTCTTTGTATTTGTCTGTTGTACTTGATCATTTGTTATTTTTGGTGTGGTTCTCTGATTAAATTTTAAATTAATTGAACAGAATGTGTTCTTTCTCTTACTTGCTAAATTTAACATAACTACTGTGTGTTATCTTTCAGATATGTATCATAATGTTAAAACATTAAACTCTTTAATAATTATCCTACATTTTAGTTTCAGTTGTTACATATACTTAGATGGGCCTTATATATTATTTAACATCAGTATCATTCATTGTGGCCTTTTGATCTAGGATTCTCGTCTCATGCAAGTCTTAGCTTTTGCTTTGGCCTCAACTTCCAACAGCAGTGTCCAAAAAGCACTAAAGGTTGTGATACTAGGATCCCAGTTACCAGCCTTTTCTAGTTTACTGTAAGTAGCATACTAGCATCAAAATGTTTATTTCATATACTTAATTTGCCTAAACCTCAAATCAGTTTTTTAAATCATACTAACAGTTGGATTCATCATTTTTATTAGACTTGGCACAATAGACTCTGACTTTTTTTACCAATAAATCCTAACACACAAACAGTTTTGTTTGATATAAAATTTGTTTCATGTTAGTATGTGCATTTACATTTGATTTGAAACAAATATGTACATGATTTGTATTATATACATCATTCTTCACTAAAATGCTTTAGGAATATCTTGCTTTCTTCACAAGTGAATAATGTCTTAAAGGAACAGCTATAAGACTTAAACATTTTATTCCAAATTTATTTATTTATATTAAATCTACAAATTCTGTAATACATATTTTACAGATGTTTAAACTTCATTTATTGAGAACTTCACATGACAATATACAAATAATAAATGTGTTAGTCATCAGAGCCTTCAAGTTTGAAGTCTTACTTTCTCAGGTATTTAGTTGCAGACAGAAGAACTGGTGTATTTGAAATCTAAAGCTACAGTTGTTGTTGTTTTTTGTGTGTACTTGCTGCATAATCAAAGTTTATGATTTTCTTTTTAGTTCATCTGTTATTTTCTTGACCAACATAACCAGGAGCTCTTTGAAGCTTACTGGCAATTCTCAAGATGACAATAAAATCATCCACTGATCTGATATTGATAAGTCAGTGTCACTCAGTATGGTATAATTTTACGTCTTTATTTTGTTTTTGAATTTCGCACAAAGCTACGCGAGGGCTATCTGCGCTAGTCGTCCCTAATTTAGCAGTGTAAGACTAGAGGAAGGCAGCTAGTCATCACCATCCACCGCCAACTCTTGGGCTACTCTTTTACCAATGAATAGTGGGTTTGACCGTCACATTATAATGCCCCCACAGCTGAAAAGGGTGAGCATATTTTGGTGGGACGGGAATTCGAACCCACGAATATCAGATTGCGAGTCGAGCGCCCTAACCACCTGGCCATGCCAGGCTCTACACCTTTAAGTCAGTTGTTTGTCCATTTTGAAAAATTTTAGGCCTGGCCTGGTCAGGTGGGTCGGGTGTTTGACTCACAATCTGCAGGTTGCAGTTTGAATCTCTATCCCATCAAGCATGTTCACCCTTAGAGCCATGGGAGGTGTTATAATGTAATGGTCAATCCCAGTAAAAGAGTAACCCAAAAGCTGGTGGTGGCTGGTGATAACTAGCTGCCTTCCCTCTAGTCTTTTACTGCTAAATTAGGAACAACTAACACATATAGCCCTTGTGTAGATTTGCATGAAATCCAAAACAAAATTTTAACCAGTGCTAGAATGTTATATATCCAAGTTTCTAATGGTGAGAATAAAAGCCTTAGCATTTATTTAAAGTGTTTAATTCTTTTATACTTAGATTTTAACCTTTAGCATTAGTTTCCAGAAGCACCTTGCCATCTTAGTTTTTTTTACTTTCAGTAGTATTTTTAAAGCATTTTATTACACGCATAACTCATGCCTTAACATACAACAGTAGTATTTTAATTTTTAAAGATTGTGAACCTAGAATCTTAGTTCCAACTGTTTCTTGATTTACATAAAATTGTTTATTTCAAGTACTTTAATAGTTCCCTTTGACATTCCAGGCACATGTAAGGTATCAAATGATGTGTTCTTTTCAAATCTAGGTCATTCACAAGCATTTTCATTGTTGTGTACACCAGTTTGTTTTTTTAATTTTTGGAATTCACTTTATTTTGTTTGTTTTAATGTATACCTTGCTAATTTGAATTTTTCATGGACATTGTGTATCTCAGAATATTTTACTAAGTTTTTTTTTTTTTTCACAGACTTGGAGAAAGTATTGCAATGACAAATGCTAATCATAGCCACTTACAAGAATCACAAACTGAGTTATTGGCTTCAAATGTACACGTACGTAATGACGTTCGATTAGAACATTCAAAGTCCTCTTACCGAGAATCAGTTAAATCCAGTAATATGTACAACCGTCGTTGTTCTATAGACAGAAACATTCAGTCTCTAATACAGAAAGTGGAGAATGGGCTAGATGTAAGTAAATATTTAAGTGATACAGTACGACAATTGTAACACTGTTAAAGTAAACCAAATTGAATTGCAAAGGTATATAGTTGCAAATTATTTGGGCTTTAGTAAAATATTTTTCTTTCCTTTTTTTTTAAATTTTGACTATAGAAATCACAATGTGTTGTAGTTTTGTATTTTCTGAAACATCATATTACAGGGTTTTAAATTGTTAATTAAGTTCTTCTGTCAATTGATTATAAAACTATAGTTAATAGACATAAAAATCCGTAAAAATGATTACTTAGAAACATTGAAGAACCCTACTAAAGGAGTACTATAATGCTCTCAAGATAAATAATTGTTTCTGGAATCAGTCTACTTCTATACTTCACTTTAAATAAAACTTAGACTTTTAACTTGAAAAATAAGGTAAAATAACAGAATGCTTAAATAGTAACAAATTTTGCATCATAAGTTTTTAATATAATGCTGTGCAAACCACAAAGGGGGGTCATGGGATAGGGAAAAGTGAAACTTCTCATGAATACTTCATTTTGCATAAAAAATTAAAATGCCCATCATAAAAAAAGACAACTTTTAATAGATGATTATATTAGCTATTAGCATATTTTGATCACCCAGAATGATAAGTTTAAAGTTAAAGTAATCAGTGATTTATCATTAAATAATGTTTTCCTTTTGGTGGATGAAAGAATAAGCTATAAATATAATAGTGATGATATTAGTAATTTGTGATATTTTGACTTGTGCATAGATTAAAGATCTAAAGTCCTCAGAAATTATGGATATGTATGAACACAAGATTGCAGGCTTAACAGTGAGTTTTCTTAAATTTCTTAACTTATTTTTGCATTTTTTTAAATATTTGAATCAATAAATGTAATTAACTACATGTTTTTGTTATATATATACATGTTTCGTATTTTTACCATTCATAAATGTCACATTTATTGTAGAAATTAAAGTTGAAAATTAGTCAAGTGATTGTTTAATATTTAAGGTTTAAAGAAAAATTAAGTAGACTTTGCAATATTGATTTATATACAGAAGCAGTAAATAAGAGAATGTGATAAAAATACATTTTTGTAAAATGTTTTTCTTTAAATGTGTATTTTAGCCAGTTTTAGAATAAGAAAATTCCCTCAAGAATAAGTGTATGCTGATTTTTTGTGTTTGAATGGTAAAAAACAGAAGTGTGAAAAAGCTTGTTGAAAATGTCTTTATAAAGCTTTGCTTAAATTGTTGTATATCATATTGGTTCTGTGTCAGAAGATTTTCAGGTATTCCATGTTTTTACAAATATTTTAATTTTCAGCTTCTACGTTTTCAGTTTCAAAACTAAAACTTTGTAGTTACAAAATAAAAAACAGTAATTATATAAATATTGATCCAATTTCTTGTCTCTCTTAGTTAAAAGAACAACAACTTCAGGACCTAGTGGAAGCCAAATCGGCTGCTCTTCAGCAATCTGACAAACTTCTCAACCAATACAGATGTCGTCAAGCACAGAGGGAAGCCGAGGTGGGTGAAAAGATGCAAAATTTATGGTATTCTACAAGTTGCTTATACATAATTCCCACATAAGTTTCTTCTCCCAGGCCTGTAAAAGCCCTTAAATTTCATTTCTGTTCTGAAAACTGGGAAAAATAAATAAAAATTGTGACAACTACGATTGATGAATAGGTAACTGAGAAGCAATGTTTTAAACACTTATCAACAGTACACTTGCCTTTTTGGATCTTCATTAGTTATGGTTGAAATGATGGGTTGGAAATTAAATAAGTTTGTTTTAGAAAAAATGCTTTTGTAGATTTTATTCTGTTGGTTTTTGCAAGCACAAATACAAAATTAAAAATGGGAAATGTATTGTATGCTGTTGAACTGGTTCAAGAGTCTGTTGTAGCTAATAATTGACAGTTTTATTCAATTTGTAACTAGAGAGGATACTGTCCATTACCAGGCTAAGTCTCTCAAACCTTCAACTCATTAATATAAGGCCTTGTCAGTGACATTGGCTAGGGATCAGCCAGTATCCGATAAGTTTGAATCTTTGTCTGGTTGCCAACCTTCCCTACCAGTCGTTCTGACTATTACGTGATCCTTTTTTTCCTTTTAGCTTTAGGAAAATTTAAGTTGTTCATTCATATTTCATTAAAAATTAAATACATATCATCTATTTTAATCTCTAAAGATGCTGTGAAGTGATAGTTTAACATCACCTGCTAAATCCCCTCGATTTTTTTTTTTATTATTATTATTA